TGTTTTTTTTTCCGGCTGATGCCCTAGGTGCAATTCTCTCAGGCTACGTCTACACGAGGCAGTAGCGCAGACAGGAACAGAGCTGTAGACCCAATGCTTGCTGCTGAGCGCCCAAGGTCCTCACGAGACACCTTCCACTCCCCTTCACACGAAACGAGTTGCAGGCTCCCCTGCCGACTGACCAGGCTGCCCATCGGCCGCTGGACCACGTTTCCCAGTTAACGCCTGTCCGAAAGGCACTCGGGCCACGCTCGAGGGAACCAACAAGCAGGACAGGGGACTTCCAGGAGGTCACATCAGAAGCAGGCTCCCAGTCTGAACTGAGATATTAATGCCTTCAGCAGGCCAAGTCAAGAGGAACTCAATCCGTTACAAAAGAAAGGCATACCCTAAGTTCTGCATGGAGGATACCATAGCTTTATGAGATTCAATTGTGGCTGGAAAACATGTCACTCTCATCGTGAAACCAACATGTACTCATATTCAAATCAGAGTGTTCAGTTACACAAGTCCAGACGAGTTCTGCCAGTTTAAAGTACATGCTTCTCCTTTGCTTTATAGAAACACAGTTTCAGAGTCTTATTTTTTTTCCAGCACAAACCAAAATTCTTTACGGATCAATGCAGAAACATTCACTGAAGCAGACCTTTGTATTTAACAGATATTAATTAGAAAATTAATGACATTTTTTCTGACTCAAGTTTTAGAAACACTATTTTAGCAAGTTCTATTAAAGCACTAAGTTGCCCCATTTTCACATCTCAAAGATTAATAACAATTTGCACTCCAACTGACCAGCTAACCCTTCTACTTTGCAAGAGCACGTCAAATGACAGAGACCCAAGTATCCACAGAAAGCCTACACAAACTAGCAGCCTCCTGCTACGAAGGAGGAGGAGGAAAAGGGGGTTAGGTCTATAGCTATTAAGATTGCATAAGCTGGAAGCAGCCTTTAATTTAAGCTATGACTGCAGGAACCCACAGTAGAAGAATCCGTGTGATCCTTGTTCCTCTCTTGCTAGATGTTGGGATAGAACAGATCTGCTGTTGCCTTAGTTTTAGTCCAGTCCAGAAGAACCACATCTCAAATGTTAAATAGTTTCAGGTTGGGGTTTTTTTTTTTCCTTTTAAAAATCCCTGGACAATTTTAAAGTATCCCAGAATAGCAAATGGGTATTTTTAAATTTATCTGACCTATTTCTCAGTCTTCATTTCCATCACCAGCACTGTGGCTGAAAAAAAATACCAGTCCACGGGTTTTGTGCCCAATAGCACATTTTCTCTTATGGCACAAAAAGGCTTCCTATCACATTTGAAATGAAACCCTCTACCTCCAAGAAGAGCACAAAAAAAATGCTTGGCGTTCCCCAGAATCACGTGGATCTACTCACAGGTAAACCCCTTATTTAACAGTGCATAAACCCTAGGAAAATAAAGAACTATATTAATTCCTGTCTAAAATTTCAGGAACAGGCAAGATAAAAACATTGGCCATAGGACTGTAAGACAAAGTTGCAACACCAAAGATCAGATAATCTGCCTCTGTTGAGGGAAGGAAGACTACAGGGAAGCGGTACGCCTCCAGCGTGCCTAATCTGAGGAATAACAGTGTTTGACACTGGACGGGACCTTGTGGCTGGCTGCCTCTCTCCCAGCAGCCAGGAAAGGCTGTTAAGTGAGCAGCCGCCTGTTCTCACATCAATAATCCTACTTGACCCACAGCACGTTTTAAAATTCTCACTGGCAGAAATGGAGACCAAAATTGCCCAGTTTCATGCCTGCTGTGCGCAAGTGTGCGCAAGATGCAGGCTGCCAACCGCACTGTTAAATCCACCTGCATGCACCAGCTGTGACTGAAAAATGACTTAAACATTACCACACACCTATATAAAAAAAGAAATTACAAAACCACACTGGAATCTTGATATCATAGTATCATGGTCAACACTTACTCCTTCAAATGGAGTTTGATACCGACATCACTGTGTACCTACTACTTTGATATCACCCACAGAAGAACCACCTCCTTTAAAATACCAAGATATGGCTTATCAATCTTATTTTCCTAAGAGTAAAAAACATTTTTTTATTTAATGCAATGCTTACATTTAGAAGAATGCAAGCAATTAGCTCCCTTGGGCACTAGCACTGTAATTGCAGCTGACAACTTTCATTATAATAGTATCATCACTTTCTCACTGAAATAGGGAGTCTCACAATCTGGCAGCTCTAGATATCATATTAAAAAAT